CATAGCTCCCCCACGCGGCACACACCCCTCCCCACCCCATACACACACACACACACACCCTTCCCCATAGCTCCCCCACGCGGCACACACCCCTCCCCACCCCATACACACACACACACACACCCTTCCCCATAGCTCCCCCACGCGGCACACACCCCTCCCCACCCCATACACACACACACACACACCCTTCCCCATAGCTCCCCCACGCGGCACACACCCCTCCCCACCCCATACACACACACACACACACCCTTCCCCATAGCTCCCCCACGCGGCACACACCCCTCCCCCATAGCTCCCCCACGAGGCATACACCCCTCCCCACCCCATACACACACACACACACACCCTTCTCCATAGCTCCCCCACGCGGCACACACCCCTCCCCACCCCATACACACACACACACACACCCTTCCCCATAGCTCCCCCACGCGGCACACACCCCTCCCCACCCCATACACACACACACACACACCCTTCCCCATAGCTCCCCCACGCGGCACACACCCCTCCCCACCCCATACACACACACACACACACCCTTCCCCATAGCTCCCCCACGCGGCACACACCCCTCCCCACCCCATACACACACACACACACACCCTTCCCCATAGCTCCCCCACGCGGCACACACCCCTCCCCCATAGCTCCCCCACGAGGCATACACCCCTCCCCACCCCATACACACACACACACACACCCTTCTCCATAGCTCCCCCACGCGGCACACACCCCTCCCCACCCCATACACACACACACACACACCCTTCCCCATAGCTCCCCCACGCGGCACACACCCCTCCCCACCCCATACACACACACACACACACCCTTCCCCATAGCTCCCCCACGCGGCACACACCCCTCCCCACCCCATACACACACACACACACACCCTTCCCCATAGCTCCCCCACGCGGCACACACCCCTCCCCACCCCATACACACACACACACACACCCTTCCCCATAGCTCCCCCACGCGGCACACACCCCTCCCCCATAGCTCCCCCACGAGGCATACACCCCTCCCCACCCCATACACACACACACACACACCCTTCTCCATAGCTCCCCCACGCGGCACACACCCCTCCCCACCCCATACACACACACACACACACCCTTCCCCATAGCTCCCCCACGCGGCACACACCCCTCCCCACCCCATACACACACACACACACACCCTTCCCCATAGCTCCCCCACGCGGCACACACCCCTCCCCACCCCATACACACACACACACACACCCTTCCCCATAGCTCCCCCACGCGGCACACACCCCTCCCCACCCCATACACACACACACACACACCCTTCCCCATAGCTCCCCCACGCGGCACACACCCCTCCCCCATAGCTCCCCCACGAGGCATACACCCCTCCCCACCCCATACACACACACACACACACCCTTCTCCATAGCTCCCCCACGCGGCACACACCCCTCCCCACCCCATACACACACACACACACACCCTTCCCCATAGCTCCCCCACGCGGCACACACCCCTCCCCACCCCATACACACACACACACACACCCTTCCCCATAGCTCCCCCACGCGGCACACACCCCTCCCCACCCCATACACACACACACACACACCCTTCCCCATAGCTCCCCCACGCGGCACACACCCCTCCCCACCCCATACACACACACACACACACCCTTCCCCATAGCTCCCCCACGCGGCACACACCCCTCCCCCATAGCTCCCCCACGAGGCATACACCCCTCCCCACCCCATACACACACACACACACACCCTTCTCCATAGCTCCCCCACGCGGCACACACCCCTCCCCACCCCATACACACACACACACACACCCTTCCCCATAGCTCCCCCACGCGGCACACACCCCTCCCCACCCCATACACACACACACACACACCCTTCCCCATAGCTCCCCCACGCGGCACACACCCCTCCCCACCCCATACACACACACACACACACCCTTCCCCATAGCTCCCCCACGCGGCACACACCCCTCCCCACCCCATACACACACACACACACACCCTTCCCCATAGCTCCCCCACGCGGCACACACCCCTCCCCCATAGCTCCCCCACGAGGCATACACCCCTCCCCACCCCATACACACACACACACACACCCTTCTCCATAGCTCCCCCACGCGGCACACACCCCTCCCCACCCCATACACACACACACACACACCCTTCCCCATAGCTCCCCCACGCGGCACACACCCCTCCCCACCCCATACACACACACACACACACCCTTCCCCATAGCTCCCCCACGCGGCACACACCCCTCCCCACCCCATACACACACACACACACACCCTTCCCCATAGCTCCCCCACGCGGCACACATTATCACCGGCCCCTGCGCAAGAAGCGGCTAAAAACAAAGCACCAAACAAAAACCCTCTCTCCATTGTCCATTTTATTTTGTTTTCTTTTTATTGTGAAGTGCGCCGAGCGGCCTGGTGCCATTGTGCTTTACTGGGACATCATTCAAATACTGGCTCCAAAAAACTTTTTTTTTTCCCGGGGAAAAGTCTCCAGAAACCGGTTTAGATTCTTTACAGCTTGTAAAAATCATGTAAATTTCCAAATGGTATTTACAAGGCATTCTTGCAATATACAGTTCCCTTTTTTTTAATAAGTACAAAAAACAGAGGTCTAGCTAATACAAGTTCCTTCTACCTGAATTCTAGTAAGGTTCTTTTTTTTTTTTATGTTGTGCTGCTTTAAGTTATTCATCAAATGGAAAGACTAAAAGAGGAAGTGCTGGATAGGTAAAAAGAGCAGGGGCATCCACGTGGCTTTTCCCAAAGAAGGTGATGGCATGTTTGCCTCCCGAGGGGGCGTGTGTTAGAGGTCTAGCTAATACAAGTTCCTTCTACCTGAATTCTAGTAAGGTTCTTTTTTTTTTTTATGTTGTGCTGCTTTAAGTTATTCATCAAATGGAAAGACTAAAAGAGGAAGTGCTGGATAGGTAAAAAGAGCAGGGGCATCCACGTGGCTTTTCCCAAAGAAGGTGATGGCATGTTTGCCTCCCGAGGGGGCGTGTGTTAGTTCTTTCTGGCAGAGGAGAGCTAGGTAATAGTCCCCGGATGCTGGAAATCTTTACAAATAAAAAGTCCTTCAAGCCAAGGTGGATGTTCCTTCAAGATCTGCTAGAAAAAGGTCACTAGATCGTCGCTTGTAGTGTCCCCCTGGCTCACGCCACAAGCCTCTAATCCTACATCTACAATGAAGTCAAAGGCAGGCAGTGCATACAGTAGAAGAGAAGGAAGAGTCGGCATATATTCTATTTCACTACATTGGCATAGTCCCTGATATTCGTTGCTATTAAGAATATTGGATTAAAATGTACCTGATTTCTCAGTAATACTATTTGTCTTAAAAATAACATGCATTACGTTAATTATTGCTCTATAAGTTTCAGTATTGGACTCCTAAGGAGACATATTGCCCTCAGATATACTATCTAAAAGTTTGGCAAACAAATAAACAACCCAAGAACTCAACCCAGAATCCAAAGCATCATAAAATTGGCATAGATTTAAATACTTTTTTTCCTTTTTTTTGCATGCAAACAATTCAAAGTGTTAGAAAGGGTGGCAACGAAAAAAGTCGGTTCGGTTTTTTTTCTTCTTCAAAAAAGTGACGAAGACTTTGGCATAGTAAGGAGATATTGGCAACCAACGGAGAGGAGGTTGGAAGTAAACAACCGTGCAACTCATTGTGGAATAAAGAAATGGCAAATAAATAAATTCAGCCGGGAGCGTCCCGAACATAAATACAGAAATAAATACGGGGGGAAGACCCCCCAAGTGTCTATAGAGATATATCTTTTAAAAAATCTGCGAAATAAATATATAAGAAATCAACTCAGACATTTGTGTAAAAGAGACACTAAAAAAAACCACACCCTGTGGAAAATGAATCAAATAAAAAAGGTACCCAAGAGACTCACGCTCATGAATTATTCAGTATTGTTTTACCTTTGCAGGCGGACACTTTGTGGTCATTGGCTGCGGAGTGCGAGTTTGTTTGTTTTTTCTTTTTCTTTTTTTTTTCGTGTTTTTCCTTCTTCGCTTCACAAAAGGTTGAAGCCTTTGAAAGCAAAAGCCGAGGGGGGGAGGGGGGGTCCCCGGCCGGCAGGGAGAGGCAGGTCCCAAGGTCCCTGCCAGGAGAAGCAGGCGGGATCTGAGTCAGTTTCCAGGGGGGGCTCGGTTGCTGTGCTCTGTACTTGAGTTGGGGGCTGGGCATGAGGGGGGACCCCGAGGAGGATTGGGGGCTTGGGGGCTCCCAGAGAAGGCTGAGAGAGATGGGGATGGGGGTCCCAGAGAGGCGGGGAGGAGGGACCCCGAAAGGGATCGGAGAGGTGGGGGAGGGGTCCCAGAGAGTGCTTGAGAAGTGGGGGAGGGGACCCCTCCAGGGACGGGAGAGGGCAGGGGCTCCCGGAGAGTGCTCGGGTGGGGGACCCCTCCGGGGATGGAGGGGGGGGAGCTCCC